CCCCATATGTGCTACCCCACTATAGCCTACAAACATGCATCAGCTATGATAATCTGACAGGTGTCACGCTGTTAAAGAACGAGGAATGATATACTAGAGGAAAGGGATGGGTACAAGTACAAACCCTAGAAATGTGTTGGACCCCATATGAGCTACCCCACTATAGCCTACACAGGCTAAGTCATAGGCAAAGTGGGGGAGAACAAGGGGTCACAAGACTAGTCAAGCAAAGCAAAGCAAGCTCAGGGTGGATCACAACGTCACAACACATTCCGAGCACAAGTTCAAGGTCAGTTCACATGCAAGATCATATATAAAGGTAAACAAGCAAGTGCAGGTATAGAAAGATCACAGTACAAGCAAGGTCAAGAAGTGAGCAAGTGAGCCCAAGTACGCACAAGACCTAGCATCGTACAGAAGCGCTGATGATCACAAGGCGGAAGTGCCTTGGTAAAGATACCAGCAGTGTTGGCCTCAGAGGCCACGTAAGCAAGGCGCAGTTGACCACGCTGCTGCAGCTCACAAGCAAGAAAGTAGCAAAGAGCAATGTGCTTCGTTCTGTGCTCCAGTCTGTGCTTCCGACACAAGGCCAGCATGGCCTTGTTGTCTACGTACAGAACTGGAGGAGAACGAGGCAGCTCTCCTAGGCCAGTCAACAAGTAGGTGAGCCAGCGTAGCTCCTGTGCAGCCATGGCCCCCGCGTAGATCTCAACCTCACAGCTGGAGCCGAGAACAGAAGACGAGCGGGTAGACCGCCACGAAACAGAGACGGAACCAAGGCTGAAGGTGTAACCCTGTGACGACCGCTGCGTAGCCTGGTCGTCAGCCCAAGAAGGGTCTGCGTGACCTGTGAGGACCACTGAACGCCGCCTTCCAAGCACTAGCCCCATGCCCGACGTACTGCACAAGTAGCGCAACATCCTCTTCGCTGCAACCATGTGCTCTGGTCGGTGTCTCCCAGGAGCAACATAGCGTGCCAAGATGCTAAGAGGATATGCAAGGTCAGGTCGAGTGCACGTCATCAGGTATGGGCCACTCGGCTCTATGGACTCATTCGAAGGCAGAGCTGAGAGCGAGTGGCGAGTAGACAGAGGAGTGGCGTGAGGCGAGGAGTACGTGAAGTCGAAGCACTGAAGGACTTGCTGCACCATGTGTGACTGAGTCAGGGTAATGGTGCGCTATGCTCTGTTCCGGGTGATCTGCAAGCCAAGGTAGCTGCGCAGTTCACCCAGGTCTGTGCACGTGTGTCTCTTCTGCAGCTGCGACTTCACGTGGGCGAGTCCAGCAGTGTCACCAGTGGAAAAGACCAAGTCGTCGACGTACACGAGGATTTAGAACGGCGGCAAAGAGGTGTCGGTGCGCAGAAACAGCGACGGGTCGGCAGTAGAAGGAGCAAAGCCAAGAGCCGCAAGTGTTGTCCTCAGTGTGTCGTGCCACTCACGGGGCGCCTGGCGGAGACCGTAGACTGGCCGCTGGAGGCTCCACTGGGAACCAGGAGGAAACGACCCAGTGAAGCCAAGTGGGCGGCGCAGCCAGATCTCCTCGTGCCGGCTGCCCTGCAAGAAAGGTGTACTGAAGTCAAGAGAGTGAAGCTTGTAGTCGCGCTGAGCGGCTATGTGCATCAGCACCCGAAGAGTGGTCATCTTCGGGGTGGGATCGGTCTAGGTGGGGGAACCTCGTCGATGTAGGTGCCTGTGGATTTCCAGGAAGCCATCTCTGCGTCCATGGCTGACTGCCACTGTGAGGAGTAGGGACCCTCGATTGCCTCAGCGTACGATCGAGGAGTCGGGATGTCTGGTGCATGCGGGTCTCCCTTAGGGGCAATCAGCATGGACACGAGATGAGGCAAAGCAGCAGCAAAACACTGGAACTCCTCTTGCCTGTCCTCAAGGACGTCCGTGCTAAGAGCACACTCACCCCCGACGGAAGGAGGACAGCCAGACTCAGACTCAGCAACAAGGATAGCGCCGTAGTCTAGACGAAAGCGAGCAGCAAAGTCGACAAGCTCAGCAACCAAGGCAGACACATCCGTGGACTCAAAGGAAGGGTCAGTGACAACAGTCGCCAGGAGGCGCGTGACAGTAGGACTGGCAGCACAAAGAGAGTCAGACTCCGGGTCAGCAAGAGCAGGAAGAGAGGACTCTGGAGGAGACGGCAACGGGACACGCAGAGGAGCAGTGGAAGGACGCAGTGCCATCTGGTGTGTGCATGGGACCGCAGGAGGACGCGGACGTGGAGCACGATTACTAGTGCGAGCAGCACGAACAGGCGACGCAGGACGAGACGCAGGCTCACGACACTCAGCAAGACCTCCAGTAGGACCAGTGTAGGGAGAAGGAGCAGGTAGGGGGGAGGCGGGCTGTAACTGTGACCGCGACTGGACAGGCCGTGGACACTCTAAGGGAGGAGCAGGACCAGTAGAAGGCGGGAGACCAAGAACCTGCTCAAGGAGCGGAATGAAGTACGGCCGCGGCCGCGCAGCGCCTCCAGAACCAGCAGGGACAGCACCAGTACCCCCAGCGGCAGCACCAGCGCAAGCAGCGCCTCCAGCTCCAACAGCACCAACTCCGGCACCCTCAGAAGCACCAGCGCTAGCAGCACCTTCAGCACCAACACCCCCAGCAGTTCCAGCTCCAGCAGCTCCAGCTCCAGCAGCTTTAGCAGCACCAACTCCAGCAAGACCGCTAGCTCCAGTACCTCCAGCAGCTCCAGCACCAGGAGCACCTCTAGGCCCAGTAGCTCCAGTACCTCCAGTACCTCCAGCAGCACCAGCAGTACCTCCAGCAGGACCAACTCTAGCAGCCCCAGCAGCACCCCCAGTCCCAGCAGCTCCAGTACCGCCAGTACGAGCACCTCCAGGATTAGTGGCTCCAGTAACTCGAGTGCCGACCCCAGGGTCAGCAGCAACAGTAGCACCTCCAGCTCCAGCAGCACGGCTCCAGCGCCAGGCAAACCACTCGCGCAGCTCCTGTGGAGAGGGTAGCTCCCGCCTCGACAAAGCACCCGAAGGGCCCCCAAACCCAGCACCACCAGAGGCCACATGAGCAGACCCAGCACCCCCAGGCTCCGCACCCCCAGGCTCAGCACCCCCAGGCTCTGCACCCCCAGGCTCAGCACCCCCAGGCTCCGCACCCCCAGGCTCCGCACCCCCAGGCTCAGCACCCCCAGACTCAACATCCCCAGGCTCAGCACCCCTAGCAGCACCAGAGTCAATAGCTACATCGACAGGCTCGACTACGTCTACCTGGGACACACCTGACGGGGCAGGACCCTGAGGGGGGAGAGGGTCTACCGGGGGAGGACCTGGCGCAAGGAAGAGCGGCGGCGGGGGGAGGGGCGCAGTGCGGTAGGGGAAGAGACGGTAGTAAGGCACCGACTCGTCAAAGGTGACGTCCCGGGAGGACAGAACACGGCGCGAGGTGGGGTGTTAAAACTGCCAACTAGGCGCATCAGGGGGGAAGCCAAGGAAGACGCAGGGAAAAGCACGGGGGGACAGCTTGTCCGCAGACAAGTCGCGGACAAACGCCCGAGATCCCCAAACACGAAACGCAGACGCATCGCCAACCTTCTCCGTCTATTGCAAGGTGGGGGAGGTCTCTGGCAAGGAGACCCGGGGCTGAAGGTTGATCTGATGCGCTGCGTACCGAACCGCAAACGGCCACAGAAAATGGGGAGCAGCCGCATGGATCATGGACGTACGAGCGACGTCCATGACCATGCCCATGCGGCGCTCAGCAATCCCATTTTGCTGTGGAGAGGCCGGAAGAGTGAAGGTCTGGCGGATGCCCTGTGCACGACAGAAGGCTCCCACAAGGGCAGAGGAAAACTCCCCGCCTCTGTCAGAGTGCAGACGCAGATTAGGAAAGTCCGAGCCGAAACTCTCTCTGAGCTGGAGACGAGCTGCGCGGATCCAGTCGATCAACACCTCAGTGACGTCACCCTTGCTGCGCAAGGGGAACACTGTGGTGTAACGTGAGTAGTCGTCAACCACCAACAAGAAGTAACGCTCGTGACCATGGCCACGGACGCGGGCGGGGCCCCACACGTCCATGTGACGAGTCTGCAGCGGAGCCTCTGTCGGAGGAAACTCGGAGGAGTGAGGGGCGGCGCGCTGCCGCCCCTCGACGCAGGGAACGCAGGTAGGGGCAGGCCCCGGAGGGAGGGGAGGGAGGGAGCGGGGGAGACCAGAGACAAGGTAACGGGAGGCCATGCCTTGAAGACGAGGCAGGGAGGGGTGACCAAGGCAGTGGTGCCAGAGGAGAGTCTGGTGGGACAGGAGACGACACGAGCAGGGAGTAGACTCAGGACCAGTCCTGGACGCCGCAGCAAACACCTAACCCGACGCAGCTACCTGACCAGACTCAGCAACCGGAGGAGACTCAGTAGTCAGTGTGTACAGGCTCGACCCCGGCTGACGGGTAAATGTGGCCAAGCGTCGGCCCGTCCGAGCACACGTGCAGTGGGTCACCTGCTGACTCGCAGGAGTGAACTGGTCAACCCCCCCATCTTGTAGATCAGCACCACTCACCAAGTTCGTAGAGAACGAGGGGAGGTAGAGACCTGACAGGGTGCCAGAGGGGGCCGCCGGACACGGTAAGACAGTGGAGAAGTGGGCAAGGACAGGACCCCCATTGGGGTCCGCCAGGGAGACCGCAACCGGCCGACTAAGCGGCGTAAGCTTGGTGCGGTCTCCAAAGGAGCGGGAAGCACCCGAGTCAAGGGTGAAGGTGTGTAAGGCCTGAGCCGACGTGGTACCTGAGAGAGCAGACTCACCAGCACCTGGGGCAGCAGACGCACTAGCACCTAGAGCAGCAGCCTCACCAGCACCTTGAGCAGCAGCCTCAATGCGCGGGTCTGGCGGAACACACAGGTAACAGTCACCCTCATCACTAGTAGACACAACATACATGGCAGCAAGAATGGCATCATATTCTAGATCAAAGATAGCAACTCCCGACCTAAGCAGCTCGCCCCAACGGGGGAGAAGCAGCTCCCCTATCTTAGCCTCCGCCTCCACCGCCGCCACTGAAGCCCCCACCCCTGCCACCACTCCCACCGCCACCCCCACTCCCTCCGCCGCCTCCACCGCCACCCCCACCGCCCCCACCAGCCCTTCCAGCGCCTTCGCCCCCCTTGCCCTTGCCGGTGCGGCGTCTCCCGCTAGGGGTAGACGCAGCGCCGACCGACTCGGTGCCAAAGAAGTCGACGCTTGCAGCAGAGGCAACAGTGGGCAAAAGGGGGGAGGGGGAGCACCCCTCAAAGAAGGGGGCACGAGGGTCACCACGAGAGGCTCCTACAGCGACTATACTCTTCTCAGCTGCCAGGAGGCGCTCCTCGAGGAGGTCAACGGTGAGTGTGGTGGGGCAAACAGAGAGGAAGTGGTCCCTGATCGAGCGAAGGGAGTCAGGGAGCCGGGTGACTATGTAGTAGAGGGTGATGTACATGGGGGGGGGTTCTTGCCGCAGAACTCAGCAGGAAGCGCAGCGCGGTAGCGGGTGTCACTAGTGCGAATGTGCGTAATGAGGTCAGCGACTGTGGGAAAGGCGGCGAGGTCAGGAAACAGGTACGGTAGCATGAGGTGGCTAAGGGCAGCAGTGGCAGGGGAAGAGTAGCGTGCAACTATAGCATCGTACAAGGTTTTAGCACTCTTGTACTGACTAAAGTGCGCGCGCTCAGTGGACGGCAAGTGACTACGCACAGCAAGACGGGCAGCAGCATCGCGTGTGGCCCACTGTGAGCGAACAGTGCTGTCAGCATCGGCAGCAGGGGCAGCAGAGGCGCCAGACGTGAGATCGAACAGTGAGAGACCGTCCTTCCTATCGCACTGTAGGAAAAGCTGTAGATCATCGACCCAAACCTCAAAGTCAACAGCCCGACCCTCAGCATCAAAGACTAGAACGCTAGGGGTAGCCATGACAGCAGTGGCAGCAGGCTAGGGGCAGCAGTAGCAGGCGTGGCTCGGCAGTGCTCTTACCAGGGCTGGTAGGTAGGGGCCGGCAAGCGGTGGGGGAGGGCCGAGGCGCGTCGGTAGGGACAGAGCCGCGACCGCGGCGGTAGCTCCTGCTGTCAGTGGCGGCAGCAATCGCGGCTGTCGGCTGCGACGGCTGCTGCTGGTGGCGGCCGCCGCTGATGTCGGCGGCGTCTGCTGCCATCGGCTGCTGCTGGCGGCGGCGGCTGCTGCTGCCGGCGGCGGCTGTTGCTGGTGGCGGAGGAGCCGAGAAGGGGCCGGGAAGGGTGGCGACGGGGCCACGAATGGCGGCGACAGGGCCGAGAAGGGGCCGCGAGGGGCCTCGAAGGGCGGCGACGGGGCCGCTAGGGGCGGCGACGGGGCCGCGAAGGGGCCGCGAGGGGCCTCGAAGGGCGGCGACGGGGCCGCTAGGGGCGGCGACGGGGCCGCGAAGGGCGGCGACGGGGCCGCTAGGGGCGGCGACGAGGCCGCGAAGGGCGGCGACGGGGCCAAGAAGGGGCGGCGTCGGGGCCGCGAAGGGGCCGCGAGGGGCCTTGAAGGGCGGCGACGGGGCTACTAGGGGCGGCGACGGGGCCGCGAAGGGCGGCGACGGGGCCGCGAAGGGCGGCGACAGGGCCGTAAGGGAGCGCGACGGGCCGCTAAGGGCAGAGGACGCGACGGGAGGGTAGGCACACGGGGCGAAGCGCGCTGCGGGCAGGAAAAAAAGAGGTCGATTTTCGGTGGGCCCTAGGAAACGTTCCCACTAGGGAACCTGCTCTATACCATGTTAAAGAACAAGGAATGATTTACTAGAGGAAAGGGTTGGGTACAAGTACAAACCCTAGAAATGTGTTGTACCCCATATGAGCTACCCCACTATAGCCTACACAGGCTAAGTCATATAAGTCTGACACACGCGATTCCAGCGCCTTTAGCTCCGCATCCATCGCAGCACGCCACTCCTTGGCGTGAGGACCGGTTAGGGCCTGGCGAGGATTCTTTGGCTCCACGTCCCGTGAAAGAGTAGAGACAGATGTGTGCAGGCTGAGAAGTTGAAGGCCTGATACATTGGTGGTGTCTGTGTTGGTGGGGACTTCCACCACGTCGTCATCTCCGCTCTCATAGCCGGGTGCTGCGGTGCTTGGCTCTGCTTGGCGCCGTGATGGTTCTGGCGCGGGGTCGTCATCGCTGTCATCGTCGTCGTCGGCGCGCGGGCGAGGAGGAATGCTGGGATGTTCGTCGGTGTCGTCACGGTCCAGTACTGCTGCTGCTGCTGCGTCTTCTAGAGTCGCGAAGCTGCGGCTGCTGTTGACGTAGCCGCGTGCCTGGTTTTGGCGCTCGTCCTCGATCCACTTCTTCAGGGTGAGTCGTTCATAGAAGAGGATGTCACGCGTAGGAACGATCTCCTTGCTTGTCGATGTCAAGAATGAGCCAGCCTTTATGCTCGTGACTGAGCCCCAAATGAACTCCCCAGCGCGCACGATGAACGAACTTGCCGATTGTTGCTGAAGTTGGCCGATATTGCACCATGCACCCCCAAACTCTCAGCATGGAGGGGTCTCCCCTTGAGCCGGTCCACTTCATGTGAAGGGACAGGTTATCCCTGTTGGCGGTGGTGGAGAGGAGGTTGTGCAGGCGCACCGCGTGATTCATGGCGTAGGGCCAAAATTTCTTTGGCAGGCCGGACTGGTTCATGATGGCGCGGACTTTGGTCATGAGCGTGCGGTTGACCCTCTCGGCGACACCTTGCTGCGGGTGAGCATAGGGGAGAGAAATCTCATGCTTGATCCTCTTCTCGGTGAGTACACTCTCCAGCTCATTGCTCCGAAATTCCTTTGCACCATCACTCTGCCAGATCTTCAATTTCCTCCCCGACTGTCGCTACGCGTGCGCGAGGAAGATGCGGAACACCTCCGGAGCCTTGGAGAGGGCGTCAACGTTAGCGATCCACACGTGGTGTGAGTAGGCGTCGATGAAGGTGAGAGTGTACTTTTCGCCGTTGATGCCGTCGCAGGTGAGTACGATGAAATCGCTGTAAACTTTCTCCAACTTTTTGTAGCGGTTGGTACTCGGCTCCAGAGAGGGATAGGCGGTGTGGGAGAGTGCAGCTGTGGGACAGACTGTGCAGGTGGTCGGATGGGGGGTGGTGTGCTGTAACTCCGTCCCGTCGGGGCGCAGCAGTGCTCCTGGCGGGAAGACTTTTGCGCGGAGGCAGTTGGCGAGTGTCTGGCGCGAGGGGTGGCCCATCCGCTGGTGCCAGAGATCGTCCTCGGCGCGAATGCCGGAGGTACGCTTGTAGCGGGTGTGATGTTCTGCTGCCTCCTCCGCCGTGAGTTGCGGGATCTGGAGTGGAGGTTCTTCCTCTTCTCTTGGTTCTGCTTCGTTGTCCGGCTCCTCTATTTCTGCTTCTGTCGTTGCCTCCCCTTGTGCAGGTGCCGTTGTGAGGTAGAGCGCAAGAAATTCGCGGTCGGGGATGATGGTGAGCGGGATCGTGGTGCCTTCGATGAAGCGAGCAAACGGATCTGGGTGGGAGATTGGACCAAGAGAGTCCCGAGGAGGAGTTGGTGCTATATTCCCCTCCTCAATCTCCGACCAGTGATCGTTCCAGCGATGAGGTGAGCGAGGTGGTTCACCAGTGCGGGGGGTCCGCCCGAGGGGAATGGCGACTCGAGATGGTGCTTCGCCGCACTCAGCTTGCATTTTGCGTTCAGCTTCCTCCAGCTCTACTTGGGTAAGCTCCCCTTCATCGGGTTCGGCTGTTCCCCATCCACCTGTGGTAATCGTGCCGCTGGCGCTGGCTCCCAATGCTCCAGTGGCGGATGCCCAGGTTGCGCCGTGTTCTGGGTTGGTATCCTCGTTGCCCCATCCTCCGTGTGCTGATTGTTCGTCCCATCCTGCCGCGATGCGCTCCTCATACAGCTTTTGCTTCTTTTCCGCTCGTACCGTGTCTCATTCTTCCTGAACACTCAGCTCCTTTGGTGCGTCAGGGTCTTTCCAAGTTGGATCAATCTCGTGACGATAGTATTCGCGGGTGTATGGGCGCGGTTCTCCGTCTTCGTCGAAGGTGGTGGTGTTGGCTTCTAGAATGAAGCGGAGGGTTTCCGAATAGGGCCTTGGTCTGTTCACCCGCTGCTGCCCGAATTGCTTGTTCGGCTCACCGAAGATACGGTGAGATGACAGGGCGAGTTCTTCACGTGTCATGCCTTTAGGTTCTGCCTCAGCGCTCTCCGCCTCCTGAATTGCTACGTACTCCCGCTCAACTTGCTCCGTGCGGCTTGCCGTGGGTGTGTGGCATGTTGTGCACAACCCGTTGATGTCTGGCTCGTGCAGGTTGATCTCGCAGGGATGAGGACTGCGGCGAATCCACAGTCGACCGTCTGGATGCTCCCATGATTCTTTGTTCATGAAGGCGAACTCGAGGGGAACAAGGTCAACGCGTTCATCCGATGATGCTTGACAGGGAGGTATGTCAAAGTCCAGGATGTAGATCCCGTTGATTGAGCGGGCTCGTCCGAGGTATTTGAACGTCTCAGGAGGAGTGTCCGGGGGAGCGTAGGTAAGGATGAGGTCGCGTGTGGCAAGATCCGTGTGAATTATGACGCCACAGTCGCGGAGCTGTCCGGCCGAGAGCAGATTGAAGCGGAGGTTCGGGATGTAGAGCACGTCATTGAATGAGATGTGGGTGTTACTGTCTCATGCTTGCATGACGACAAGGCCTTGTGAGTTGGCGCGCAACTGCTCGTTGTTGGCGACGGTGACGTAGGTTGCGGGAGCGCGACTCAGGTTAGAAACGTATCCCGTGGATCCCACCATGTGCTGTCCGCAGCAGCTGTCCAGGTACCAGGTGTTATAGTTGTCGGTGTTGTTTCGGCGCAGGAGTAGCGCCAATCGCGGGGTCACCAAAGTGGCCTTGTAGCGCCTGTGAAAGGAAGGGTCTTCGTCCTCCTTCCAACCCACTGGTACGTAGTGTTGATTGTCGTGTGGCGGGCTTTCCCGCAATGTGATTGGTTGATTCCAATCCTGCTCGTCCTCGTCATACAGGTAATAGTGGTCTTCAGTGAGGGGATTATTCCACCCCTCTTCTGGTTCCAGAAGTCTTCCTTGCACTTCGTTCTCCTCATCAGGTTCAGCGGTGCGGCGGCGTCGCGTCACCATATTCGGAATGATGTTCCTCGGAGTTCCTGACTGAGATCCTTGATTTTGTTGGAGTTGATGCTGTGCAGGGGAACGAGCTTGTTGATGCTGAGATTCAGAGGGACGAGCGTCTTGTCGGCCGACCCAGTTGTTATGGTGAGTGGAATTTGGGTGGCGGAAGTTGGATCGGGACTTGCATCGATCCGTTGAGTGTCCGAAGACTTTGCATATTTTGCAATAGTGGCTCCTTGGTTGTCGTCGCTCTTCTCGGTTGTCCGCGTAGAAGGCGAGGCGCTCTCGGCGCAGCGCGGAGCTTGTTCTGCTGGAGTCCATGTCCTGCTGTTTGGACAGGAGTGCGGCGCATAGCGCGGCTTTGGAGATGATTCCTCGCTATCGGAGTAGCGCTTTACAGGGCTTCCACTCTAGCCCGAGTCCTTGAAGGACTATATTAACGAAGATCTCTTCTGAGATCGTACTCCCATGCTTCGTGATCTGGTCACGAATGTTGCGACAGCGGTTAATGTATGGATTCGCCTTCTCCCCGTGCCCCATTTATATCTCCAGGAGTTGCTGCAGAAGCCTGCTAGCGGTAACCGAGTCCTTCGGCTGATAAACCTCAACGAGGTGCTTCCAAGCTTCCGGAGCGTCGCTCTCTTTGTAGGAGCGAATGTTGAGTTGTTCCACTGGCGTCATGTTTCGTAGCAGCACACTGTAGGCCATGAGGGACTCGCTGTAGTACTGAGCCCTGGCGACGTCGATGTTTTCCACCGGTTTAGGATAGGAGCCGTCGAAGTAATGGTAGATCTGCGCCGTTTGTAGGAGGAGCTCAAGCT